TTTGACTTCTGCCATCTATGAATCATCCAATTTCAGCAATAATCCCTGCTGATAAATGGGTTTAGCCAGAATCCCCACCCTTGATATATTATGGGGTTCTTCATCCACCACCATACCACAGGCATTGTCAAATTACCTGGCAAGCAGTCATCAAAAACCTGTTAGGGTATTTGGCAAGGATCCCTGTAATTGTCAATTCTCTGGTATTTCCTTTTAGTAATAATAGAAAATTATTCACTAAACATCCCAACATACACTATAAATTGCTACTTCTCCTTTTATTTGGAGTTGAGCCCAATCTCCCTCTCCTACCAAAAATCTTACTGCAGTGGTCAGTCCCTGGAACAATCATGGAGAGTCCTAAACAAACTCTGCTTTGCTGTTTTAGCAAGTGTTAGATTACATTGCTCCTCTACCTCTCCTAACCACGCTTTTAGGGTAGACCCTAAACTCCCAGAGTGAGAGGTTTCTCCAAATGCCTAGCCATGCCTTCCTCAAATTTCTTGGTAATCTCTAATTTGTTCAGGTGAGAGAAATTAACAAATTCAACCTAACTCACATTATTGTATTGCCAAATGTTAAAAACACAAAGGTAGTTTTGTTTTAAATCTGCATTTTCCATAGAAATCTATAGCACTTAAACTGATTCCCCTTTAACATAACTTTATTAGACCTAAATTAGATCTATTAGAACCTCTAACCAGATGCTGGTGTTGAGAGAAAAGTTACAGACTTTCTATATCACAGTAAAACCTTCACTGTACATCTGGGAGAAAGTGGGATTATAAAGTTTAACTGGATTAAATACAGAATTTTATTAAAACAAGTTTATATGTGCTAATAATCTAATATTGAGTTTTCAGTTCTAAAGTTAGCTGTGTATATTAACTGCATTTCTAACAAGTACCTTTTTCAATATCGCTTGCAGGAAAATGACATTGTAATGCCTGGGCCAAATGCCAAATTCTATTAACATCAGAAATCCAAGACAATATTTTCCCATTGAAGACAGTCCAAAAATCAGGGGTCTACTTAGATATAAATATAAGAACTACATGGACCTGGAATCCTATTTATAAAAGAATTGCACGTTGCATGATGCCACATAATGTATACTTGACTTTGGGAAATGTTAAAGAGTTTTCAACAGACATTAAAAAGTTCTAATGCTAACAGTGACACATGTTCATGCTTAATGAACTGAAGGGCTTCCAACTCAGCATCTCAACCATAGAAGATACTGAAACTAAAAGAAAGTTTAGATATTTTCTCCATGGAAATTTTTCATATGCAATAATCGTGGTTTTGCCTAACCTTAACTTTACAACAGGTTGAAATAAGATCTGAAACTTCTGCAAATACAGATACAGATAATACTCAGCATGAAAAAGAAACAAACTAGCTGGGGGTACAGTTCAGTGGTAGAGCATGTGCTTTAGTAGCACAGACAGGGCCCTGGGTTCAATTGTCAGTATTAAAAAGAGAAAGAGAAGCTTACATCCTTGTATCCTATTGTTGAAACTGAATGGGGTTCTAACAAAGCAGAATTGACTAAGCTTAGTTTAAGAGTAACAATTTTTCTGGGGGAAAAAAAAAGGTCACCATACAAATCTTTACTGGAAGAATAAAAGTTCTTTTGCCTAGATCTTTTAAATACTGGATTTTGTCTATATAAGCATGAAAGAATTTTTTAAATTACACAATACATAAGTTATAAAAGTTAATTAATTATATATGAAAAAATTAAATGCCCTGATAATTACATTTGAACACTGATTTTCTAAAAACTAAATGTCTCTGGAAGATACCCTACCTCTTTATTTCCCCAATATTCTTGATTTAAAACCTAGGTACAAAGTGTGCATTTAATACAAAGCAATTTCATCATACATTTCATAAGAGAAATTACAAAGTAAAATAAGAAATTCTGAATTCCTAATTTAGCACTGGCATCTTTTTGTCAATAAGAATGCTAAAGTAAACCCACCTAAGCTTATCCTTATCTTATTCTCTGCCTTAATGACCTTAACCCATTTAGTCCCAAGTTTTCAATTCTAGGAATATTTCAAGAAAAATTATACAAGTACATCAAAAGCTTGTATATCCTTTTTATATTTTGTTTGAGAAAATGCTGAGTATAGGAGTGAAGAATAAAAGTTGTACCCTAGGGAGGAAGCCCTTTTTTCTGTTAGATAGTGACTATAGTCAGTGTGACCATTATATTTTTATATTTACATGAAATACTTTTTCAAATGTTCTAATCATTCACCTATTTCTTTTCTCAAAAGGAGAGAATTATAAAAACATAATATTTGTTTCAGAAGTTATCATAAGTGGCATATTTATTGCTTAACTTCTTAAGTTTTTATAGGTGCTCATCATTTGGGATGATGAGACTTGATTAATTAACCCCTTGGCTTCAGCTATCCCTTTCTATAGTCAAATCCTGCTTATTGTTACCACACAATTCTCAACTTCGTTAGACTTCATCATCCCACTGTCAGATGCAATCATAAAGTAATGAGATGATAGAGGGACTATCAAAATTTCCCTTAAGTTGGAGGAAGGAGGGTAGTAGTGAAAGGCAAAGAAAACCTCACCGTGTAGGATTCATAAGGTGGCTCTTAAGGAAGGGTAGGCACTCAGAAAAGAAATGGAAAGGACATTCCAATGTTAAGAATAGTATATTCAAGTAGATATAGTATATACCAGAGTGATGCTCCTTTTCAAAGAATTTGGTATGCACTCAATGTGTATTTCCTGTAAGAGATTACTGGGAATTAGCTCAAGCAGATTGAGGTCATGTGACCAAGAGCCATATAAACCACACTAAGGGGTTTTAGAGACTGTATCCATTAAATGGTTCTAAGCCAGGAAATACCAGGATTATAGGGGCCTAGGCCTGGGCAGTTAGTCCAATTAGGGGAAATAAATTACTCAAAACAAGAGGTATCAGAGGCCTAAACCAAAGCAAAATCTGTGGACAAAGAGAACAGGAGAAGGATGCTAGCAAGTAGGAAAGAGACCCTATTGACTGATAAGGAATGGAAGGCAGTAAGGAATTAAGAGGACTCTAGAACAACTCTTCAAGGAATAGATGATATTTAAGAGGAAGATGACCACTTTGCTTTTAAACAATTGAGTGTAGTATCCACTAGACTAGTAAGTATATGGGTATGAAATTCAGATGTAAGATATAGACTAGATACATTTAGTGTGAATTATCAAATCATACTCTCTAAATAGTATTTCTTCTTATGCAAAACTAGTGCTCCAGAAATACTAGATTTCTTAATGTAGTATATCCCATTTTTACTAACATGCTATTCTTCATATTTTACAAAATACTGAACTGTCTCCCTACTTTACAAAGATTAATTACTCCACTGAATCCACCAATATATAACCTAAAATCAATAAAGTAGATAATAATAGCCAAATTCCTACCACTTTCTCTCTTAGATTTGAGGGCCAACAAATGAGCCCATGATTGGAAACATTATCAAGACCACTTTATAATTTATAGTCTTAAAAGAGCACCAAGTTTATTTAGACAAATGGATTACTACTTCTGCAGAAGACTTCTAAACATAGATCTAATAAGTACACTCACATACTATTTAGCAGGCAGGCATACAATTTAATTGTCTTTAGTCTAAACATAGAATTAAACTATAAATTAGGTATCAGTGATTTAAAACAATGCAAGTTGAAAAAATTTAAATTATTACCCTTAGCATACCATATTTTATTAGTGGAACATGTAAATACAAACAAAGATTGTACATAAGCAAATAACAAAATTCACATTTATGTTCCTCTAATGACTGTTCTGTTCTGACAACTGTGGTTTGAATCTTAGATATTTACACAGTAATCCCTTTCACTGTGACCAAGTGCTCTGAGCATCCTCGGACATAATGGTCACACTGACTATAGTCACTATCTAACAGAAAAAAGGGCTTCCTCCCTAGGGTACAACTTTTATTCTTCACTCCTATACTCAGCATTTTCTCAACCAAAGTAAATCCCAAGACTCAAAGTAAAGTAGGAGTAAAGAGAAAAATTTATTTATCTACTGTAAGACTACAGGTTAATTCTGGTTCTGCCAGGACTAGTTAATATTTTCCTCTTTAGTTCACTTATGAAATTTTGAAGTACTGAAGTTCCCTGGAATTAGCATTAAGCATCAGATCACCATGATGCTCTTGCTTAGTGTCTTGGGAAACTCCTGGAGCAAAAACCCATCTCAATCAACTCCCAGTATATCAGGCAGATGTCTAGAGTCTTCAATGGCTAGTCAAACCTACTACCCTAAGCAGGCTGGCCCCTACCTCCTTATTTGTCTCCAATGGCCCAACAAGAGCACCTTACCTCTCACACACCTGCTATAGCAGGAGCCAACATTCTCTCCTGAACTTCCCCAACAAGCACACTCAGGCACTCTTCTCCTGGTATTCCTTTCACTACATCTCCTCCACATTTCTGTCTTACCTAATATCTAGCATGCAGGTGACTGCATATCTATATGTGGAAAATATGAATGGATTTGATCAGCCTCTATGCTTACCACCAAAATCTAGGAATACGGCATGACTGAGATAATACCATTTTTTTAAAAGTCCTTACTTTATGCTAGAACATCAATTTTCCCAACACTGAAAATCTTTTACTTCAATATATGTATTTTTCAAATACGTTCTCCCCAAGTTTTTACATGGATTCAAAACATAAAATTTTAAGATAACTTTAAAATCAGTTCACTCTCAAATAATTAACATAGGACAAAATGTTCAACTGTGTCTGCTCATGATATAAATGCAAAGAGCACACACACCTAAGCTAAAAAGTTGTAGGTGGTTCTCTAACAAGATCATTTTTATATATTTACCAAATTTTTATAATAAATATAAAATACACTATAATAAACACTAAGTTACTTTAAAACTAAAGGAAAAATACAGTGTTTTCTAAAAGGAAATAAAGTTGAAATCACTTACTTTCTGCTCAGTGTTTTCCTGAAACAAAAGTCCAAAGTAATCCTTCTCCAAAAGATTGAGATGTTCGCATACCTTGTCAATTAACACCTGTCCCTTAGCACGTTTCTGGAGAATTAAAAAAAAAAAAAAAAGAAAGAAAGAAAGAAAGAATCTTTACTTTTCAAGTAATAAAGATTTCACAGTATTTAAGGGCATGAGATCAGATGCATGATTTACTATAAGTTAAAACAAACATTTGTTTTCTAAATATTTCAACAATATAAAAAGTGACTTATTTTTTTACTTTATAGTCTTTCCATCACGCAATGTATGAATTAAAAAATAAAAATATGAACCAGGTATGGTGGTGCGTGCCTATACTCCCAGTTACTTCAAAAGCTGAGGCAGGAGGATCTCGTGATCCTCAAAGAAAGCCTCAGCAACGGTGAGGCGCCAAGCAACTCAGCGAGACCCTGTTTCTAAATAAAATACAAAAAATAGGGCTGGGGTGTGGCTCAGTGGTTGAGTGCCCCTCAGTTCAATCCCTGGCAAATAAATAAATAATCAAATTCCCTTTGCTTTATTGCTACTCTATTATATAAACATGAAAAGGACTAAAACAGTAAAATGCTCAGAGTTCCTAAAATCAGTATAAAAATTTGTTCAAAGTGTTTCCCTTGATACCTAAAGGTGATCATCACATGTCTACAAAGTATACTATCCCCAAGAAAATCATTTATCCCTATTACTAAATGTAACCTATTTATCCCATCAGCTCTTGTTTGAATTTTTAGTCATGCTCCTTGACATTTCTGCAAGGTTTTCAATATAAGCTATGCCTCTGTATACAATTGTCTAGAGAATAATATGGTATTCACTCTTTTTTTTTTTTTTTTGGTAGTTATAGGTAGACAGCATACCTTTATTTTATGTGGTGGTAAGGACAGAACCCAGCACCTCACGTGTGCCAAGCAAGCACTCTGCCACTGAGCTATAGCCCCAACCTGGTACCAGGGATAATAAAACAACTGCTTCTGAGGATTTAACATATTTTTGCCTTGAATAGATTTTTTTTTTAATTTAAGAATCTACTGTCAACAGATGCAAAAGGCTTTGAAAGCCTCAGAAGAAAAGCTCATTGTCTGATTTGTGGCAAAACATAAAGTGGTGATTCATTTCCAGTGAAGATGCACACCCCTGGAACACCCCAACTGCGATGTCAGGCAAGACACATGCCTACTCCCGGATGTACTACTAAGCCATCACTGGACTGCTAGTGGAAAAAAAAAAAAAAAAAAGCTATCAGACTTTTCCCTCAAAACAAATGCCCTTCACTATAAAATGTACACTTGTTAGCTCATCCAGTGTGTAAAAATTTATGTTCCCCATACATATATATCTTGAGAAGGAGAATATGGTACTTCTAGTATTAAAACTTTTATAGTTGTATTTCTTCTAAATATTAGAATTACAAAAAAAGTAAAGGGAAGAAGGAAAAAGCACATAAATTATGTTATTTTAACATAATTTGCAATGTACTATATATACATCACTACAAACCACAATGAGGATTTAATAGTTAACTATGAAGTCTGTTTAAGATGGCTATGCGCTTATGTCAATATGTTTAAAGTACATACAAACAGGCTGTAAAGGATAAGAATACTGGATACTGTGGGCTTAATACTAAAGTTTAAATATATCTTTATTACTTACAAGCTATATGATTCATGGCAAGACCCTTCTATTGGCCTTGGTTTTGCACATCTGTGAAATGGGGATAACAGAACCTACTGCAAGGAGTGGCAAGTACTAAATTTAAGTCATAATATATAACAACTGGTTATGATGCTATTTGAAATTAAGGTAAAAAGAATATTTAAGACAACTCAATGTTTATAAAAGCATACCTCAGTTCAAAAAGAAAACACATTCCAATTGTGGCTTAAAGTCATTTTTTATTAATAAGTCATATCTTCTCCCTAGTTTCCATTTCAAAAAGATGACAGAACTCCCCTAACTGACAAGAAAGAAAATATCAGAAAGTTCATCACCGATACGGCATTAGAATCAGCTGGGCAGTAAGACACCAGCACCACCATAGAGGCTGGCATGAAACCAGGTCCCTCTGTCATTCAACGTTTTGTAGTATCTTCTACTATTGGACAAGTATAACAATGGGGAAGCGACTTAATCTCCTCAGCTGTAAAACTCAGATAAGAACTACCTCACAGCTCACTGTGAGAATCAAATTAGCCCAATGAGACAGGATATATCAAAGTACCTTAATTGGTCATAGCCAAATTCTGATCCCAACTTTTGTCTCACTAGCTCACACCTATCAAACACCAAAATATCTTCCAGGTGCTCACACTGTTCCTCTGCCACTCTCCTTCTGTCTCCAAGAAATACTTATTTAAAACACTTGATGAGGGCTGGGGTTGTGGCTCAGCAGTAGAGCACTCACCTACCATGTATAAGGCGTTGGGTTTGATCCCCAGCACCACATAAAAATAAAGACATTGTGTTCACCTGTAACTAAAAAATAAATATTTTTTTAAAATAAAATAAAACATTTGATGAGATCCTGTCTACATGGACTTATCACTTGAGCTTCCCTTCAGCATCTCACTTCTAAGACCAAATGCAACAATTAGGCACATGCAGAAAGATGTGTGTACCAAGTGCTGTGGAAACACTAATGGAATAAGTAACTGAGAAAAAACACAGCTTCACCAAGAATATGACACTGGAAGTGAGTCTTAAAAAAGAAAATGATTTTATGGGGTAGAGGACACAGATATTTGTAAGAACTTTTTGCGTCGGATACTTATCGAGCTTGACATAGTCAATTTCTGTTCAAAAGATTTTGGGGGGGTACACTAAGATGAAAAAATGAAATCATCCATAATGAACAAGCAATGCAATACTGACTGCTAGCTACACTCAGATAATGATGAAGGCTTGTCAAGCTAAAATGTCAACATATTGATCTAGCATCTAATGCATGTCGTTTTTCTATGTTGACAGTGAAGAAATAATGAGGAGGAAAACATACATGGTTTCAGGAAATTTATATTCAACTGGCAGACACAAATAAAATAGGAAACAAAACAAAACAAAATAGCCCTATTTATCTACCACTCTGGAAATAACTAGGGTCCTGATCCAACTAGTCCAAAGAAAACTCACCAATGGCCTATGTGGCAGCCTGATACAAGAGCTCTATCCAATGAGAATGTCTTATTCTGGGGATAAGGATCACAGGTACAATCACATCTTCTATGAGGGAGTTTAAGTAAAAGATACACACACACACACACACACACACACACATCAAGGAGTAAGCAGAGTGCTACAAACAGAGGGAGAGGCAGTGAAAAGGCACTCAGCAGAAACCAAAGATTCCAGAAGACCAATCATTTCACCGGTCTCACTGTTCCCATGAAATGCAGCAGTCTGGCTGGGCACAATTCAGGAGCCACTTGTCAAAAGAAACGAACTTTATTTTTAGAACACACACACCAAACCACACAGCTCCTCAGGAAAACCTTCAGAGCCCAACTGCCACCACGGGCTTCCCACAAGCCTCTCAACCTCCCCCCCCTCCTCCTGCTCTTGAGGCTGATTGGCTGGGTCAGATGGGCGGAGCCAAAAAGTCCCCCAATGAGCAGCTCCATGGTCTGAAAGGGGCGGGGGGGCGGGGGGGGGGCAGGCAATGAGCATCACCACAGAGGAGCCAATCAGTTGGCAGCTAGAAGTTGCTGGGGCCGCTGTGAGCCAATCATCAGCTGGCAGCTGGAAGTTTGCTGGGGCCCCTTCTGGCTGTGGCTCTCAACAACCAATCATTTCACCGGTCTCACTGTTCCCATGAAATGCTTCACAAACGCATACCCCCCACCTCCAAAAAGAGCCATGGAGTAGAATAAGGAAAATTCTGGTTACTGCATATGACTACTAAGCATCAAGTCCTATTCACTTATTCAATACTCTGAGAAGTTCTGCAGTGGGAAAGAAAAAGAAGAAAAAAAAAAAAAAACCACCTTTTTGTCTTATTCAACGTGGTTCTTCCAAAAATTTTTCACTAAAGAGCCTACTATATTTTTTTAATATAGTATTCAGTCCACAATTTAATTAGACTAATTTAGTCCACAACAGAATGACCAAACCTTCAAGAAATGAGGTAGAGAATCATCATCATCTGGCCTTCAGGCAGAGTTGAAAAACAGTGTTAACATTACCTGCTTGATTTAAAAATGTCAAAAGAGAATTCAGTTTAAACTGGCACAAGACTAAATGTGCCCAGTTGCCTGGCAGAATCAAATAGTTCCCACATGCAAAGTACCAATAAATATAAGCACAACTCACAAAGCACACAAGGAAACCTACCACCATTATTTAGAGTTAGACACAGTATCAGAATCAGATCTTCAGAAATCATCAAGTATTAAAAAAAAAAAAAAAAGAGAAGTAGTTTCATCTGTTTAAAGCAGTTAAAAGGATATTTTAAAGTATTACTAAGGAAAAGGTGACTGTCAAAAAGCAAATTTTTAAAAGAATCAAATTAAACATCTATAAATAACTATAATAACAATATAATAATCCAAAAGAGAGTATGACAGCATTGAAGAGAAAACCAGTAAACTAGAAGACAGATCTCAAATGTAGGGAAAAGCAGGGCAGGGATATGAAAAGAACTTCATAGATATGGAAGGTAGAATAAGAAGATCTGTAGATATTTTACTAGTCCTAAAAGAAAATAGAGCAATAAGGGAGAGGTAATATTAGAAGACAGAATGGCTAATAAAAACATAAGCCTTAAAAATCAAGGAAACACAATAGATTTCTAGTGAGACAAGAAAATAAAATCCATAACCTACAATCATTTTTCTTTTACTAATTATTTGTACTCGTTAATATCAAAAGATTTTGACATGCACTGTTAAAAGCTAGGAGAAATAGGGGTTGTGGCTCAGCGGTAAAGCGCTCACCTGGCACATGTGAGGTCCTGGATTAGATCCTCAGTACCACATAAAAATAAACAATTTTTTAAAAACACGATTAGAAATTTTTTTAAAAAAGCCATCAGAGCAAGAGGGAAAGAAATATGAAGCAGGGAATTAAAA